CCTCCCTCCCTCCCTCCCTCCCTCCCTCTATTTACCTACCTACTTTTTTTTAAAAAAAGCCTCTTCAAAACCTGGGTGCATCTTAAACTCTGGTGCGTCTTATACTCCGAAAAATACGGTATTTTTTAAAATATCGGATATATTTCTGGGATTTGATTTGGTCTGTAGACCCAACAGAACACATAAGCTAATTAACATGAATGTCATGACAGCTACTCAACATCAACCTGTCTAGATATTGATATATTTGTGTAAAGATATTCTCTACACTAAAACACACCTAAGCTTCAAGTAAAAAATTAAAAACCATGTTTGACATAAAGTATGAGCTGCTTCTAAAAGTAACAATGTGCAGAGCTGGATGCGTTTCGATATACTGCAATGTTGAATTGTAGTAGAAAACAAAAGCAAACTTTAATCAGACTGCAGGGAGAGGAAAATATGTAAGAAATAAATGGGAACTATTGTTATCAAATAGCTACATTATCATAATTAGAGGCATGGGCTGAAATTATATTCTAATTAAAAATATTTTCTATAATTGTAATTAGGACTGTTTTAAAGTAATGATAATGACTGAAGGAAGATATTATTGTGGTCTATATAAATCTGGAAGTTAGTTTAAGAGGGAGTGGGTCTATTTTGTATTGAAACTGAGAAGATTGAAATTAAAAGAAAAGACATTCAAGCTGAATATTGAAAGGAATTTTCTGAAAGTAAAAGCTCACACAGTGAAATGAACTGCCTAATACAGTAGTAAAGTCCCCATTTTAAGTTGGATCTTAACAGCTATCAAGAATTGGTTGGAGTAGATGACCATGAACTCCCTTCCAATTAGAGTCTAGTTTCCTGTGAAATGAATAACCAACCTGTCTTATATTGATTTGGTATGGACTAGGCTTTCTATAAGTGCTTTGGGCAGTGAAATAATCTTTGTGCTGCCATTCTATTAAGTAAAATGTTCCATGCTATTTAAAGCAATTGCACTATCATTTTAAAACTAACTAACATTAATAGAAGTACACCTCAGAGAGAATGAAAAAAATGAGTTTTATATATATTTAAATACTAATTTGTACTGCTTCAACAATTTTTTTACAGTTGCTATTTATTATCATAAGTAGCTGAACTGAATAAGCAAGTTAACTAAAACTCTAGGGTAGTCATCTGAACAAAGTGAACTCCTTATTAAATAACTGCTACTCATCATGTTAGTCCTGTCTGGATTCATCTCTTGTCTGTTTAATATGAACTAAGTCTAATGAAGATGTCACGAGAATAGATAGCTAGGCATCCACATCTGAAAGATAGTTGTAAATGAGTTGATAGAGAAAATGTGTATTTGACATAGGCCTCTCTTCAGCTTCCAAACATTTTTAAAAAATAATTCTTTATATCAATGTTATATGCAAAAATAATTTAATTTTAAGGCATTCATTTATGTTTTGAAGATATTGTTCAGGCTTGAAACTAAAAATTTTGTGTAGGAATCTGATTTTCTGCTAATCTAAATTGGCTGCAGAATGCTCTTTGTTAGCAATCTATGGAGTGATAAAATGGGGTGGAATGGGATCTGGATTTAGCACTTTTAGGCTTGGATTATTTTCTCCGTCTCCTTCCCATTTCTAAATGTTTTTTATATTTCCATTCTTTCCTTGCACTGATGTACCATATTTTTTGGAGTATAAGACGCACCGGAGTATAAGACGCGCCAAGATTTTAAAGAAGGAAATTATTTTAAAATCTTTTTTGCATTCTGAAGACCTCCCAAAAATGGCCCATTTTTTGCGAAAACGGGCCCAGTTTTTTTTTTAAAGGGCATGAATAGCCTTTAGGAGGTTTGTAGAGTGCTCCTGGGGAATGCCCCCAACAAGCAAAAAACAGCCCATTTTTTGTGAAAACGGGCCCATTTTTTGTAAAAAAAAAGGGCATGCATAGCCTTTAGGCAGCTTATAGAGTGCTCCTGGGGCTGGGGGGAGGGCAAAATTGAGCAAAAAATGGCCCGTTTTACACTCATTTCTGCCCTCCCCAGCACCCAAGAGCACTCTGAAAGCCTCCTAAAGGCAATGCACAGCCATTTTGGTGAAGGGGCAGGGTTTTGAAAGGCAAAAAATGATATATTCAGTGTATAAGATGCACCCAGATTTTCAGCCTTTTTTTTGAGTGAAAAAGGTGTGTCTTATACTCTGAGAAATATGGTAGTTCTCCTTACAGTTCTTCCCAAACATAATTAACGAAACTAAAGAAACTATTATGGCAGAGACAAGTTGTCATAAAAGACTGTTAATTAGCTAGAAAGTCAGGTTTTAAAAATGATGAGGACAGATCTGGTTTTTAACTTGTAGCTGAGTCTAGAGAAAACATCTACAAGCCTTGATACAGCCACTACAAAAGGATCATTTTTACCCCAAAGCAGCAATATTCATCTCTTCAACAAAATGGCAAGAAGACATGAAAGCAACCTTTGTGCATTATTCATACACATATCAAAGATTTCACTTGGGATTGCCAGTATTCCTTCAGACACTCTACAATATTGTCTGTTCACAGATATTCAAGCTTGCTTAGCATTTAATTGAAGAAATCAAAAGAAACATAAGAAATCTAATGCAGATTGTTGGGGCACATGTAAATACTTTTTTAAAAAAAAAATGTGTTTTACATGAAGTCAGTCCCAAAATAATGTTATCTTTCTCTTTGAAAATGTAGGAAATACAAATTCATTCTGATAACAGTAACTTTTTCTTTCTTTAAAGGAAAAGTTCTTATATTATTTCTAATGAAACCGATAGCTCATATTTATTAAAGAACTTCCATGTAGTCATATTAAAATCTTCTGTGATATACCTGATAAGTTTAATGATGGACCAAAGGCTAAATGGAGTATACAAATGGGTGAAAATTGTTCAGGTGATTATAGTATTACCTTGTATCTCTAAAAAGACAATATATTGTGCAGTCTAAAAAACAACTTACCTGTTCAGTGATAGTAACTGGTATCTCAAAAGTATCTCAATGATCTTCCAGGATTTTGATATCTTTGCATATTTTGTAACAATCTGATTTCTTTCATAGGTGAACATTATTCCAGTTATAGCTAAAGCAGATACAATTTCCAAATCTGAACTGCAGAAGTTTAAGATCAAAATCATGAGTGAGCTGGTCAGTAATGGAGTTCAAATATACCAGTTTCCAACAGATGATGAGAACATTGCTAAAATTAATGCTACCATGAATGTAAGTATATTTCCAAAGATACTGTATTTAAAATAGAGATTCATTGTCTGCAATTACTGATTTCATTTTTGTATGGAGGATAGTGTTTTAATGGGAACAGTCCAGTCATTTCTGGACTGTTCACCAATTACATTTTACATTTTAGCAGAAAGCATTCCACTACAAGTGTGTTTTTCTTTCATAGAACACAATGTTCATATATGAAATTTGAATTGAATTTGGATTAGTGGCACTTACAGCATACATTTAAAATTTTGCTAGAACCCATCTTTACATTCCAGATTTCAGCTTCTTTGAGTGCTTATGCTGAAGAGAATTCTTGAATGGCTATCTTAACCACAAGCCTGAAATTACTATGGCTATTTTCTTCTTTATATTGTTCTCAGGTGTTTAGTTTTTTGTTTTTGACGCCATGCCTTTGCATCATGGTCTAGTGGTTAAGGCACCAGGCTAGATATCAGAAGACTATAAGTTATAGTCTTGCTTTAGGAATGAACGCCAGCAGCCAGTGACTTTGGGAAGTCAGTCTATCTCAGTCTACGATGACAGGCTCTAGCATCATCCGACAAGCCAATCAGTCAATTCTTGTTGCAACCAATGAATCTTGGTTGATCTGGAAAAAAGAAGATCTTGCACTTGCAGAATGGATGGATGGATGTGGATGGATGGATGGAATGAGAAAGAGAGAGATCTGTTGTTAATCACTTTAGGGCTAGGTCTTTTCAATCTTTCTGCTGAGGATAGTTCCTTTTTATTTTTTAAATCTCTAAACTCTGTTCCATGAAAGCATGAGAAATTAAGTGTATATTTTACTGATGTAATAAATTTATTAAATATTAAATTCATGTTCTTCTGATGTCTGAATTCCCTATTGAATGTGTCATATTCTAGTGGGAGGCCTTAATGCAATACAAAACTTAATACAGCACTTAACCCTTGCCCGCCCTTCCACCACAATTGTCTCCTTTTACTATAATGGCAGTGCTAATGTTCTACCACCTTACATTAAAAATTATTTGACAAGGGACTGTCATCTATATGGGAGGCAGTTACATCTTGAGAAAAAAATTACCAGGCCAATGTTAAGAGGCACAATGAATCTTTACCAATTCAAAGTTTGGACAAAGATTTGGCAGAATAGCTTCATTTTCGAAAGAGTGATGCTAATCTAGGAAGTCTACCCTGAAGTTATTACAGTTTTACTTTTTCCAGGCATTAAGGCTGCTTTTCACACATATTGTTCTCAGTTATCAGAAGTCAGTTGACATCCTGGAATAGTTATATTAGTGTTTCTGGAGCTGCTACTTGAATAACCCAGGTCGTTCCACTAGTGTCTCGACAGTTCATAATTGTTCAACTCATTGGTTGACAGCGTCAGTTATTTATATCTGCTAAAGTTGAAATGAGATTTGTGAAAAAACGTCCTGTCAAAATTTCAGCCTGAGAAGGTGAGGAACAGGTTTCTTGCTATAGTTAGATCTCTTTTTATGACCAGGAAATAACCTAAACAGAAATATTGCCCTCTTGGAATAGGAATTTTATGGCCTTCCCTTTTAGAATGAAGATTTAAATAAATAAATAAATAAATCTATCATCTATCTATCTATCTATCTATCTATCCATCCATCCATCCATCCATCCATCCATCCATCCATCCAT